GATTAATCTTCTCAGGAAATATTATATTCACAGAAACATTTTCATCATCATTTGCTTTTAGAAAGAAATCCCTCTCCTTGCGCAGTAAATGGCTGTATCTGGCATTGGCTAGCCATACTTCAAATTTAGAGAAAAATATAATCCCAGTTGTACCCAAAACAACAAGACATGTAAGAAAGCTTAGGATCATGAAGCAGATTACCTGACTCTTAGTGAGCAAGGACTGCCTATTTTCAATTGTCTCTTTTATGGTCAGTATTTCCTTCTCTTGCTGCTGAGCTGGTTTACGGTGCCCTCTGAAATGCAGGTGGTGATTCTGATTCCGTCTCTGTTTAGCCACCACATACACACTTGTGTTTCTAGTGGAAAAACTACAGGTGGCCCCAACAAAGTATGGTTTGCAAATACACATGAAGCCTCTGCCACGGTGTCCATGACATGTCCCACCATTTTCACAAGGGCTACTATCACAAGCTGGGATGCGGTTACTGCACAACACACCTCCATAGCCAATAGGACAAGAGCAGTGGAAACTCTTTCCAATATCTGTGCATGTGCCTCCATTTTCACATGGGTTTGGTTCACAGTCATCAATATCACGTTCACAAAACTGTCCAGTAAATCCTGGAGAGCACATGCAAGATGCGTAAAGTGCAAACCCATCATTGTCCAAACAACTTCCTCCATTTTGACAAGGTGAGCTGCAATTCCAAAGAAGAGGAAATGAAAATACATGAACAAAAGGTGATAGTTTATAATTCATACCAGTAGCAGTTCTCTATCACATTTATCTCTTCTCCTCCTCCCCCTTTTTTTTTTTAAAAAAAAAAACCTGGCATGTATAAAATGAAATGTTTTAAGCTTGAAGCAAAACACCACCCCTGGAGGTGTTTTACTAAAACATTTCAAACAATCCATTTCAATTGTTAATCTAGGCCCACATAGGCCACTGTTTCACTGTTGTGAAAAGGGGTTCACAGCTTGACTGCCTGGGATCATAGGCAGCTCTTTCCCATGTGCTTTGGAAAGGCTTCATCCATATCTTCTTCCTGGTTGGGCATGGAAGAGTAGATAATAGCTGTATTGCTTTTATTTGTTCCCTCATTTACTTTAACCCAAAGTTCATTCATTCTGAGCAGATCTTTTTAAAATACAGTTAGTTCTTTTCTTCCTTTTCTCTGCTTTTGTTCCTTTTGAAGAAATCGTCTCCTTCAGTCGCTACATTCCAAGAGAATTATCATATCATATGTCTGCTGTGTTTATTAAGTCATTTTTGCTTTTTATACTAAGAGCTCAGACTCATCTTATTTCCCATGGTCTTAATATTAGTTTATAACTAATGAAAGTCATAATTTTTTGAGCCAATATTCTGATTTTTCTTTGTGAGCCGTGACCAGGGGGGCGTTTTATCAGGTACGCCTGATTCACCAGTTGCGGCCTTTTCTGGACCGGGACGCCCTACGCACGGTCACTCATGCACTTGTCACCTCCCGCCTGGACTACTGTAATGCTCTCTACATGGGGCTCCCCTTGAGGAGCACCCGGAGGCTCCAGCTGGTCCAAAATGCGGCCGCGCGGGCGGTG